AACAAATCGGCGAGTATCTATGAGGAAATCAAACCACTATTTATTATCTAACGAACTAAATTAATGTAGAGGACGCAACAACAAATCGACGTGTATCTATGAGGAAATCAAACCACTATTTATTATCTAACGAACTGAATTAATGTAGAGGACCGCAACAACAAATCGGCGTGTATCTATGAGGAAATCAAACCACTATTTATTATGTAACGAACTCAATTAATGTAGAGGACGCAACAACAAATCGGCGTGTATCTATGAGGAAATTAAACCACTATTTATTATCTAACGAACTCAGTTAATGTAGAGGACGCAACAACAAACAAATAATGGCAAAGTTTTACAATATATTTGCCCCCCCCCCCCCAGTGGCACAGCGGTATGTCTGCGGACTTACAACGCTAGAATCCGGGTTTCGATACCCGTGGTGGGCAGACCATAGATAGCCCATCGTGTTGCTTTGTGCTTAATTACAAACAAACATACAATATATTAAAAAATAAAGAGTTCTAGAATGAATTTGTGCCAAAATCTGTCGGTTGCAGACAAGTCGGATGAAGAAATTATTGACGCCAGACTTGTCTAAGTTCTGCAAATGTTTTCATCAGTAAACATACATATTTCAAGTCACCACCATTCTGTTTCACATTGTATATGTAATCTCTTAACTGTAAAACCACCACGGACTTCTTCTTCTTTATAAAAATATACTTCCAAACTATTTAACCCTCAAATTGCTCGTGGAACTGCGATCCTAGTAGCTTGTGAGTAATGTTAAAAAATATAGGCAAAAACACCAACGACTTGTTTATTTTTCGGATATTCTCGCTAAGTTAAACTCAAAGACGTCCTTAATTTCTAGCTGATAGAATATAGTGCAGCCGGCACCACCTGTTAACCCTTGGGCAACTCTTAGTTGGAATTGACCGCCGCTCTTATAATGCAGCATGGTTCAATAGCTTTGTGCTCGTAGTCGGATAGTTGCGAGTTCAAAACTGACCACAGTCAGGCTGTTGAGTCCCTAAAACAATACACTTCACCCCACTATTTTCAGTCTAACCAACTGTACGATGGGGGTTCAATTAACACGCGATTGACTGGTAGCCCGTCCAGGAGGGCAATGGGTTACCATTCTCATCCGTTTGAAACTAGAGTTCGAACACCGGCACCATGTGGCTGTTTATTAACAACTACACATCTTCCCTTATTTGATATTGGACACAGAGATTGTGAGTTTCAAAGGTAGAACAAATGGAAGTAAAACCGTTTAGGACTGGAACACAGCCAATATGACAAAATAAAACGTTTAGGACTGGAACACAGCCAATATGACAAGATAAAACGGTTTAGGATTGAAACACAGCCAATATCACCATATAAAACGGTTTAGGACTGGAACACAGCCAATGTCACCATATAAAACGGTTTAGGACTGGAACACAGCCAATGTCACCATATAAAACGATTTAGGACTGGAACACAGCCAATATGATAAAGTAAAACACTTTAGAACTGGAACATGGTCAATATGTCAAATTAAAACAGTTTAGGACTGGAACAACCAAT